ATCTGCTCATGTCCCTTCCAACCCTACAAACTATGAAACTATGATAGAAACAAAAATGAATGAGGCTCTTGTACAAATGTAGGATCACAAATAGTGGAACATTTCAGACAGTGATCAATATCTATGAACTCTTGAGTCCAGACTGTGATCTTTAATCTAAGCAGAGCGAACTGATGTGCCTTATTGGTAAAACAGTAGGTGGCCATGATGCTTTTTTATGAATGAGAAGTCAGTGCTGCTAGTGCTAACCCATAAATATAACAGCATCCTGCACACTCTTAGCTGATCTAGAGACAGGACACTTTTAACTTCCTTTTTTTTCCAATACTGTTGTATCTATTACTGTAATAGATAATAATATTTGCACAAGGTAATTTTTCAAGAAGCCTGCTGACTGTGAAAACACATTCTTGGCTTTTCTCTTCTATGGAAATATGCTGCATGTCAGCTTTATAACACTTCAGGCCATATTCAGTGTTACTTTACTCAGCTATAGTCTTGAACAAAGCCATGGAGAAGAGTAGAATTCCTACAGATTTACATGGAAACAACTATGAGCAGAATTTGGCTTTTGGCTTCCTAAGCTTGAACAAAAACAAAGCAGTTCTGAGAATAAGGCTCAGTGTTATGAAGTAGCTTGTGAATGCAAAGAACATGAGAGTCTCAAGATTTATTAGTAGTGTTTCAGAGCATTATTGAGATTAGACTTAATTATCTGTGTAATTTGCTGGAACCAGCATTTTAGCATTTTTGATCAAGTATATGCCATTATTTTTTTTTAAGATGTACCAATCTGCTTCAAAAAAATCCACACAAGCGGCCTACTGAAAAGTCTTGGAGTTTTTCCCTAGCAAGAAAATGCTCTTTTAGCTCCATTGTTGGTACATGCACCTTTTATTTAGATACAGCCCCATACAGAGGGATTGATTGGTTTGATATTAGGAAGGACTTTATTACTATGAGATTGGTTAAGCACTGGAACAAGATACCTAGAGCAGTTGTGAAATCTCCACTGCTGGAAGTTTTTAAGTGCAGGTTGCTAGACAGGGATGACCCTGCCCTGAGCAGGGGGCTGCACGAGCCAGTCTCCTGAGGCTCCTTCCAGCCTGCTCTTCCTATATTTTTATGATTTCAGTGAGGAAGAGAATGGAATCAATAATTGCTTGTGTTTGGGCTATACAGTTAAAGGGTGTGCCTATAACACAGGCTTGTTTCAAGCTGTGTTGTGTCTTACTACCTGTGATGAGATGGTGCCCAAGAGCCATTGTGATGCCCTCTCTTGTGGCCCCCTCTGTCTTGAACAGCCCCACTCAAGTCTCCCTAGATCACAGCCTGTTCATTCATCTACCACACCTTTGTTGGTAAAGAAAATTAATGAAGGAAGACTGTCCACCTGGGACTAGTGAGTCTTTTGGAGCACTTCTCTCTCTCTCTCCTTTTGTAATCAGGGCCTATTTTCTCAGGCCCCACCAGCCTTAAGGGCTAGATTCATGGTCTCCTTCCTTCCTTACAGCCATGTCCATGCCTCACAGATGGTACAAATTATCACTTTAGCAAGGCTTCTCACCCCTTTGTACTGCTTGGCCCTCCAGCCACAAAAGCTCTGTTGGGGCTTTGGGCTTCCCAGCTTTCACCCCTTTCCTCTAGCTTGGTCCACTATCCCCAGGTTCTGGGGCCCAGCCTGTGTCTCACCCCTCTTGGGCTCTGGGCTCCTGGCCCTGGTTTTGCCCCTCTCAGTCTATGGCCTTAGCCTTCTCAGCTCCAGGCCATCCCCGCTGGCGTCTGTAGTGCAGGTTTTAACCCTTTAGGCTTCTGTCTGCCTGTGTCTTGAGTCTGGCCCCTGGCAGAGCTCAAAACCACACATGCCCCTTGGGCACCAAAGTGGTCTGTTTCTTTTAGCCACATCAGGCGCTTCCCCATGAGTGTGTATGTGCAGTTTGTGGTGCCTCAAAGCCACAAGTGCACCTGTGTGCCACACTGCTAATTTGCAGCATTGCAGGTTTTTTTGACACCATGAGATCCCTGTTTTCAGCAGACTCATAGTTTGCCTCCTGGCTAGACCAGAAAGAAGCAAGGACTAGGTTGACACAGCTAAGATTGCTTCAGGCAAAGGTGTTGACAGACTGCATCGGAGGGAGGAGCTAACCTCACAGAATAGACAAGTTTTCCCACAACACAATGTGAACCAGTTCCTTTGGCTGGTCCAGATGGTGAAGCACTAAGGGCCCTGGAATATAATCCTAGCAATCCTGGAGCCAACCGCATGCAACTACAGCATCAGTGTGGACATGTGTACACATGGCATGAGGGCATACGTGACTCTCTATTGCATGTGTTTGGAGGCAGACTTTGCTAGCACATATCCATATATACTTGAGCCAGGCTGTGGGCTTTGAGATACTCAAAGAAATGTGTTTGGATGTCCCAGAGAAAGACAGTGTACTCCTTTCCTTTTTTAGCTCACCTGTGGAGGAAAACCTTATTAGGCCACAGGGGAAGAGGAGTGTTTTGGGGTAGAGACTGGGATGCTAGACACTTTAGCAGGTGTGCTTGGCCAAGGATGTGCCATTACCTCACCCCTACACATACCAGCAGAGGTGTTCTGGGTGTGAATGCTGGCTTCATTGTGCCCCAAGGGAAATTTTGCTCTCTGCTCTCTTCATTGCTAAAGGAGTTTCTGCACTTTCCAGGCCAGGAAGGAAGGATCTTGTGGTTAAAATGCCAGATGAAATCTCTGGAGACCTGGGGTTACTTAATGGCTTAGCCTTTGACTTTCTCTGTGGCTTTGGACATGGCACCCTCTTCCTTATCTATAAAATGATAGTAATAATGCTTTCCTTCTTTCAAAAGGGTGTTTTGAGGATGAATTCATTAATATTTATGAGGAGCTGAGAAACTGTCATGACGAGGGTCAGACAAGTATGTACACAGAAAGGCTATTAGCTATATACAGTGTCATTTTTTTGTCAGGCCCATTCTCCTTTCCCAGTAAGTTGTTTTTTAGGAGGCGTCCTCCTTTTTCGTAGCATGGATTGTTACTATGCATGTCTCCTAGAACAACCTGGGGTTTGGTGTCATGTTTTCACTCCTCTTGCTTAGACTCTCTCCTCCTTTCCTTCCTTCCTTTGGACAGCTTGTACTCCTATATTTTTGTTTTGTTTTGTTTTTTGGGGGTGGGGTTTGGAGAGAGGGAGGAGAGGGGTTGGGAATCCAGGAATACCAAGTAGTAACTGTGTAAACTGTCACAATGGTCATTTTGGAAACATTGCGTGGTCAGTAACTACCAGTAGCCAAATATTTATTGAAATGGTTCCATGATCTGCACTGAATAATCATGAAGCATCAGCTTGGACTGTCACAGTAAATTATTAACTTTTATTTAAACACAGAAGGAAGATTGCAAGGAACTTTAATTAATGCAAACAGCAGTATAACCAGCTAGTGCACTTCTCACTAGCAGCTTCCAAGGCTGTCTTGCCGCACAGATCTGATTCCAGAGTAACTAATTGAATGCAGGTGCAGGCTGGAACACTTGTTGAATTAACATACAGTCTCTTCTTTTCTTTGCTCCCAGCCATTTGTAGCCAATAAGAACACTGCAGGCACCTGGTGCCATAAGTAACTCGAGAGTCTCAAAGATAATTAATCCTTCACTGCTCTAGTGTGATTGGCTGCCGGCTGGAATTGTTACATATCTACTTTTCATGCAAAACTAGATGTTGTGGATGAAAGAGTATTGAGCTAATGAAATACTGAATGATATTAATGGATTTTCTGGCATTAGCTATTATTGACGCAGACATGCCTTGACTCAGTTTATTGGCAAGGCCATGTGGTCTTCTATTTTAAAATGGAGATTGAAAATTGGGACTCTAGGTTAGACTCTTGGCTCTACTGCTCGCTCACTGGGGCATGTGGTCATTTTAGTCCACATGATTAAAAGGGACTACCTCACCTACCTCAATTTTAGAGATCTTGCTTTGGGGTGCCCAACTAGCGACGACTGGGGAGGTAGATGACACTGAGTAGGCACTGACAAGAGGTACAGGTAACTCAGTGTTATTAAAATTTCAGGCCCTACATGCCTCAAATTTAGGCATCTAAATAACTGCTGCCTTTTTGAAAACACTGCCTTTATCCTTTCTATGTCACAGTTTGCTCTCCCATCCCATCCTTCATCCACTGAATTAATTCAGTCAGTCTCTCTTATAGGGAAGAGTAGTTTGGATTTGGGGCTTAGAAAATAGGTCACCAAAAATAGAGTTTCATTGTAACAGGGAAGGTGCTACCTTGCAAAAGATTTCTACCTGCTCAGCCCTCAGTTCTTCTGGGACAGCAGGGCTTCTTCATGCCCTACATCTGCCCATCTCATCTTTGCCAGAGACTGCTCTATGCTGCTCCTTTCAGGTAGCACTGGGAACTGTCTCTCCTTTCCACTCTGCTGTCTTTCAATGTATAGTCAGGGATGAGTGGTGAGGAGAGGAGGGAAATGAGGACACTGTTGAGATGCTGACCTTCACATAACAGGCATCATTTAAAAAAACAAAACAAAACAACCTGTTTATCCTGTGTCAGTATATATCTTTTGCAAATTCTCTGCAGCATTCCACATAATGGGAATGTAAAATACTGCCTATGACATGGCACACTTAACTGTTATGGGCAGTAAATATCCAGGGTTTCATAGTGGACGCTGTACTTACCCTTGGAAGGAAGTGGGAAGAGCTGCATTTTCCTCCCAGGAAGATTAATGGAAAGATTTTCACTGAAGTCAGCAGGAACACTGTTGTGGATTTGTGAGACCAAGATTTGGCTCATGGATTTGCTTCAAGAATGTAGGTTTTTAAAAATGAATAAAATGTGTAATTGTAGCCACGCTGGTGAATCCTAGGGCAATATTCTGCCTCTGTGGCAGAACTATTAATACAATTCCTTCCGGTGGAAACTCCATGTAATATAAAGAAAGCTGAAAAATCAGAAGGATGAAAAGCAGTCACTCCCAACCCCAGAAGAAAAATGTGAGCATTTATTTTAAATAAAGTCACAAATTTTTGTTGGTTTGTTTTTTGGGTTTTTTTTTTACTTCATTATAAAAGTAGTTTAAAAGCTATTAGGAAGGATTATACTGGGAAGAAGATGATGCAAAGTCTAATAAATGGATCAGATAGGACAAGCCATGTTTTATTCAGTGTGAGGAACAAATACTGCCATATTGTAAGGATTTGCTGATCTGGAAGAATTGTACTTGCCATATGGAATGCAGCTAGAGAGCCGAGTGCGTGAGGACGACAGATTCTTTTTTAAATGCAGAGAATTTTAAGACAGAAACATTGTTTGGGGAGTTATCTAATGGAGTTGGAGCAGCTTATGTAAGTTCTAGAAATCAGGAATAATTTATTGTCTCACCATGCTTTCCAATGCCTTTTGGTTTCACAATTATTAACTCGTTAGATTCAAATAGCATAAAAGTATTTAAGTAAAAATTGGCCAACTATATAGAATAGAGTTCATTTCATGCCTGGGAATAGCTGACTCCAGTTTTAAGAACCAAGCTATATTTTCT